ATTCCTCCAAAGCGGTTGTTAACATTTCCAGATTCACCACGTAAGACTGATTCATATTTGGAACTTTATGATATGGCAAGGCAGATCTTAAGGTCGGTCCCTCGGGAACACAGGCTGCTGATTTATTTTCACTGGAATCAACATCAACTCGGTCCCTCCAGCGATATTCTCTCATAGATTTACACTGCTCATTTCTCAATAGTCTGCCTCGGTAATTGTGAGGGAGATCATCATTTTGGTTGGGAAGATTCTTCTCACCATTCTGTCGAAAAATAATATTGAAATTAGGAAATGACTCGGAAATTTTATTTCTGTTTGTTTTCTGTGCCACATTAAGAAAAGACACCATAAACACACTAAATAAATGGAATGGAGCCATACCTGCGTTTCACCATCACTTGAACTAGACTTTTTTCCTCTACTGTTGTTTAGCAGAATAGCTGCTTTTCTTTTTCTGGACTCAGAGACCCTTGGCATGACTGCATCACACAGCGTTATAGCGTGACATTCAGTGCGTAATATTACTTCATTTCTTTACCCGTTATTAGCATATCCCGAAGATTTTTTCGGAAAGTAACCGAGGGTCCTTTTTGATGCAAATTCTTTTTTTTACTAGTTGTGCACGTGCATATGAAACTTGAAAACAATGCCAATGAATAATGAGGACGCTCACTTGTAAACTCAAATCTGGGGGAAAAATTACTTCTTTTGGAGGCCCTATTTAAAAGCCTTCCCTGTTTTCAATGTTCTTGAAACTTGCAGGGTGTATTCATTGACAAATGATCTCTAGATTGTCAAGTTTATAAAAAAATTTATCGAGCGGTTTTTGGAATAATGCGAAATTTGTAGGTATGGACCAAATTACGTATACAAACTGTAACAAAAGCAGCTGAATGCGGGTTAATAAAAGTCTTCTTTCTCGCGATCGCCGAGAGCAATTCCCCTCTTTTTCGGAAGGCAGTTTTCAATGGTATCAAACCACTATGAGATGAAGCCGCGTTTCCAAAGCTTGTCATTTTCTTAGAATATTAGCTAATTTTGTGGATAGCATGCTATTTCACTGTTTTTATGATTCTTAAAACTTCGTTTCAAAATATCTCCAAAACGCTCTCATAGAATTTGTTCAAACTTTGCCAAAACTGGGGCAATTATAACAGATACATACTCCCTTAAGCGATTTCTTTAAAAAACTCCTGGTACAGAGAAACACCAAGATAAATGAAAAACGTAATGGCGTCATTACGTTGCTATGGTGACTCCGATTGCAAGAAAACCCAGATCATAAGAAAGTTTCATCTTTATATAATACAGCTGTGGTAACTTTTTTTCCATATCTCTACTCACGCCGACGTAGTTGACGTTCAAACTTGGGAGGTACCCCCCCTAAAAAATCCAGTCGAGCCACCTTAAACAGATAGCAGACTGCTACGCAATACCCTAACTATAACACTACTATACACTAATTCCATTGTCTTCTTTTGATTACTTGCAGCTATTTGGCATTAGTTTTTGTATCTGTTTCACGGGTTAAGTAAAATCACTGTAACGAAAGAAAGCATCCATCTTCCAGGCTATTGTAAAAGTAAAACGGCTTTGTTATGTGACAAAACCATATACTTTTTTCGCAGAATTTACTTGAAAAAAGGGCACAGTTCGCAGCTTTGTTCTTACCAACAAAAGATGGCTGCCGTGACATCAGCTGAAAACCAGCAATAGCTCCTCCAAGATCATTTTATAGAGACCTCTTATCAAACATGAGAAACGGTGTTCCATCTCGTAATGAACACTTCGAACTTCATCAAAAATACTCCCAACCGAATTTCTTCTCTTTGTTGGATACGTGATTAAAAAGGTTCCCTTGTCTTTGATTAGCCTGAGAAAGCAGCCGACATTTTGCAACGCCACCACTGGTTACCCCTCGAAATGACGTTTCAGAAACAAGCGCAGAAATTCAATGCTGATGACGGGACACTACCCAGATCTGGGTAGTGCATCTGATTGACTAAAAATTTGCTTTCACAGACTGGGAGTCACTACCCACATCTGCCTAGTGACGCGTCATCAGTATGGAATTTCTGCGCTCGTTTCTCGGACGTCATTTCGTGGGGAAACCAGTGCTGGCGTCTTGTAATCTCGGCTCTTTTCTCAGGCTAGTCTTTGATACATTGCAAGGAAACTTCAAAACGACTAACAGGCTGAGCGATTTGACTTTGTTACTCAGCGTCTGCTCTGACCTGGACGTTTAATTCGTTTAAAGCGTCTGCCTGTTTAATTCGTTTAAAGCGTCTGCCTTAGCGTCCCTTATTTATTCTAGACGTCTCAAACGCGCCAAACGTCTCTACGGCGATTGTTTACTATTATATAGTCGTAATAGCATTCACGAAAGAGGAAAACCCTGGTACAAACAAAACAGGGCTCAATATGGTCTGTTTAAAACTCTTTTGAATTAAACGTATTGACTAAAAATAACTCTTACAAAAGGCGTTTAGGAAACTTGATCATAAAGTGGGTAATCGTATTATATAGCTACAACTGAGCTGTTATAAACAAAAAAACTGCTATATTTCCGCTTAATTTTACATACGTCATAGAAGCGCCTAAACCTCTTACAAAAACGTGAGAGTAGAATGACGAATGAGTTCACGGGATAGCTTTTTGGATGCGGAATAGATTACTTAACATAAGGTACAAACTAATGAAACCCTAATCCTAAACGCGTAGTTTACAATTTATACAGTTTTTCATACCTCGCCACCAGCCCAGTCTCTAGGCGTTCCCTGCTTGGTCAATTCTGGACTCTACCGTGTACTGCGACGTCACCGAGAGAGACTCACCCGCTGTTTCCCAGACTTTGCGCGGAGAACGGGCAAGAGAGAACGCCTGGGGACTAGGCTGCCACGCCACGTGTCATTCTTCTGAATTACTCCTTCTCTTACCCAATCCGCTTACAAAGCGGTTATAATCATACTTTTAAATGTTAACTACAATGAGAAAAATTCAATTTTCCTGTCATTTTAAAATGAACGATAAAAATGTACACTTTGTCCAAGCCTTAAAAAGTAATACTCGAAAGGAGTTTGTAAACGTCTTTGCTACGGTTGAACTTAAACAAAAGTGAGCTAAGTAGGTTCATCCACATGGCGATCACTAAAAGTTAACACTGTACGTGGTTCTTCACTGGTGCTTCGAACAGCTTTGGAATCCTTATTTTTCTATTAGTGTCAGCCTCTGTCGTGGTAACGCTGCGCCCTCTGACACAATCAGCTAATAGAGTATGCCAAGAAACAGCAGATGGCTTTCAAAACTTACATCAGTGAGCTGCAAAAATAAAAATATTGCCAAATATTAGCTATCAGATTCAGACCAGGGCAGGTCCTTTCAAGATAAATGGTTATATAGTAACACTTTCCGCAAGTTATTATCTTGAAGAGAGAACATACAGCGATTTATAAACCAATTTACTTTGCTCATTGTAATTTTGATTAAAAAGGAAGAGGAACATTTGGGTCAGTTGCCCAATTAGAAATAACTTAAGTTAAAAACTGCGAATAAGCTTTAAACATAAACGTACGTTTCCAAAAGTGCCTTTTCAATGGTAAAGAGTCCTCTGGGGGGAAAAAGGGAAAAAATACCATAAAGAGATAACGGCACGGCTTCATATTGTAACAGGGGGGTAACTTGGTGTCATGACTTTTCATTCCAGTCTTACTCAAACTCAAGCCACTTAATGTTTAACTTATTGCAATTCACCTTTAGTTTTTCCTTGTTTAACTCCAACATTTGGCAAAACCATTGCCTTCGATTTCTGTTAGATGACTGTAACAACCAGGAGAAATTGGAAAAAATAATTTCTGGAAAATTTGGAAGGGGGTGGGGGGTGAATGTAAAGAAAGGAGAATGGGATGTGCAGATGAATGCATATTTGAATTACCGTAAAATTCCGAAAATAAGCCCCTCCACGTATAAGCCCCTCCAAATATAAAACCCCCAGAATCGTAACGCAAAAAACCCTCCGTTAAATCGCCCCTCCGAATATAAGCCCCCCGGGCGGCTTGTAATTGGAATTTGCCCTCGAATACAAAGTAAAACAAAGCAAAAATGGTAAATTTTCTTCCCACTACAAGCTAGCCCAATCGATTTCGAAACGCAAATTTCCCTCCGTACATAAGCCCCTCCGAATATAAGCCCCTCCAAAAATAAGCCCCTCAAAAAGGGCCGTTGAAAAATATAAGCCCCCGGGCTTATTTTCGGAATTTTACGGTAACGCTACAAATTGCAACAAAAGCTTGACAAAAAATTGTTCATAAATAACACGATTTATGACGTTACCTCGGCATTGAAGGTTATCTATTCGTTCCCAGCAAATTCCAAGGTGACGTCATCACCAATAAGCACAAATGGTGACCAATACTTGACTTCATTAAACTCCTCAGATTCTCTCATACAGTTCATTGTTTGATTCAAGGATTCACTAGCACTTGTCCCTTTCACAAGATGCTGATAGAAAATTTTCATGAATTCTAAAGTGGCTTCATCATCAATCGCCCACAACGACACCAGAACAGAACGAGCACCAGCACCCAAAAATGCCCGTGCTATACCGACTACACCCTCGGCTTTGATCTTACCACGAGCACTATGACAGCAACTGAGTACAACTAGTCTTGCTCGCATTTGAACGCTAAGTACTTCTTTCATTGTTAAAATGTCCTTTCTCACATCTGTCGACGATAAGGCAATTTCGCCTGTTTCCATATTACCATGTGCAGCGATGTGCACCAAGGCAACAGAACTGAGTTGTCTTAAAACTGCGTCCTTTGTCGCCTGTACCCCAATTAGAGGTGTACTCCCAAGCATACTGCCAATCATTTCTACTTCCTTCCTGGCAAATGGTAGCGGCGATAGCTCTGTCAAAGGATCACCCACAAGTAGGGCACCTGTCATGTGATGATAATCTAGCGGACACTCCGAAATCATTTTCAAGCTTCTGAGGGATGGAGCTACGCGAATTTTGAATGATTCGCAAAGGTACTTGGAATCTGGGCCCTTGAATGCAGCAAAAGGGGCCAAGCAAAGTGGACCCTCAGGGATAAAGATGAGTTCGCTGTCCAAAAGTAGATCTTGAATAGGCTCATGATGATGTCATACAATGTACTCAAGGCATCTTTTGTAAGGTCTAAGTGTTGAGCCTGCCTTTCATCCTGAAGTGGTCTCTTAGCTAGCAAACGTTTATCACTCGCCAATTCAAGTGATCGATCTTCACACTTCAAAAGATTTCTTGTACCAATTTCCTGCTGGGCAACACTCAAAAGAACCTGTAAGAAACTACTGACTTCATCCCGCGAATAAATTTGTATCTTTCTTAATTCAACTTTCTCTCCTCTCTGGCACACCCAGAAGATTAATTCGTTCTCTCCAAAGGCGGTAAAAATTGTGCTTGGAGGAAGGTAACTAAGCAGTTCATCGACTGTTCCGTTGTCTGTACCTGATACAACATTACTGATCCTTTCAAAGACATAATTTAATTCAATAAGATCTTTTAGGGCTTGTGCACGTCCTTGCTCGGCAGAAAACAAAGCCTCTGTAACTTTGCCTTCTGCTAGGATTAAGCGCCAAAGGGTAACGTATGTTACCTGGTATTGATCACGAAAGCTTATTTTCCACTCGTCTCTTATTTGAAGACTATCTCTCATCTTATTGAAAAAAGTAACACTGAGCTTAAAATACCTAATAGCCTCTGAAACTTGGCCTAGGGATTTAAAACACACACCAAGAAGCGAGCACGATGTTGCTTTTCCCCTTGAGTCATCCAATTCCTTCGAAACTTCCAGGGAACGTTTATAATACTCTATAGCTGTTGTAAATTCTCCCATCATGTTGTGGGCGTTGCCAAGATTGAGATACGCCCTTCCCTCTTCTGATCGGTCACCCAATTCTTTTGCAATTTTCAGCCCACGTTCATTGTAAAATAACGCTTTTGGAAAGTCTTCAAGAGTCGTATGGGCGGTTCCAAGACTGCAAAACGCTTTTCCTTCGCCTGATCTGTCACCCAATTCTTGCGCAATCTTAAGGTGACGTTCATGGTGGCTGATGGCTGTTTTAAGTTTTCCGAGAGTTAAATGGTAGACGCCAAGATTGGCATTCGCAGTTCCTTCTCCCGATCTGTTACCCAATTCTTTCGCGATTTTAAGATGACGCTCACTATAGACCAATGCTGTTTCAAAATCTCCCAGATTACCATGGTCGTTGCCAAGATTGCAATACGCCTCTCCTTCTCTTGATCTGTCACCCAAGTCTTTCGCAAATTTCAGTTGAATTTCATGGTAATCTATGCCTGTTTTTAATTCCCCCAGTCTGCTATGGGCGCAGCCAAGATTACCATACGCCAGTCCTTCTCCATATATGTCACCCAGTTCTCTAGCAATTTTCAGATGTCGTTCATGGCAATCTATGGCTGTTTTAAAATCTCCCAGACCGTCATACGCAGTTCCAAGGCAGCAATACGCACTTCCTTCTCCCCATATGTCACCCAATTGTTGAGCAATTTTCAAATAACGTTTATGGTAGTCTAAGGCTGTTTTAAAATCTCCCAGACTGAAATGAGCGTTGCCAAGATTGGCATACGCATATCCTTTTCCCGATTTGTCAAACGTTTCTTCCGTAATTAGCAGACAACGTTTATGGTAGTCAATGGATTTTTTAAAATCTCCCAGACTTCGATGGGTGACACCAAGATTGTTATACGCCCTTCCTTCAGCCGATCTGTCACCCTGTTCTTTCGTAATTTCTAGTTGAAGTTCTTGGTAATGTATGGCCGTTTTAAAATTTCCCAGCCTATTATGGGCGTTGCCGAGATTGCAATACGCGTTTCCTTCTCCAGACCTGTCACCAATTTTTTTCGCAATTTTCAGATGACGCTCAGAGAAATCTATGGCTTTTTTAAAACGTCCTAGACCAAATTGGGCAATTCCAAGATGGCCATACGCTGTTCCTTCTTCCGATTTGTCACCCAATTCTCTTGCAATGTTCAGATGACGTTCATGATAGTTAATGGCTGTTTTATAATCTCTCAGACTGTCATAAGCGTTGCCAAGATTGCAATACGCAGCTCCTTCTTCAAATCTGTCATTCAGTTTTTTCGCAATTTCTAGATGACGGTTATGGTAGTCTATGGCTGTTTTAAAATCGCATAGTCTCTCATGGGCGTTGCCAAGAATGCGATACGCCTTTCCTTCTCGCGATCTGTCACCCAGTTCTTTCGCAATTTTCAGATAACGGTTATGGTAGTCTATGGCTGTTTTAAAATCGCACAGACTCTCATGGACGTTGCCTAGAATGCGATACGCCTTTCCTTCTCGCGATCTGTCTCCCAATTCTTTCGCAATTTTCAGATAACGTTTATAGTAGTCTATTGTTGATTTAAAATCTCGCAGATTGAGATGGACACTGCCAAGAATGCCATACGCACTTCCTTCTCCCGATCTGTCACCCAGTTCTTTCGCAATTTTCAGATTACGTTTAAAGTAGTCTATTGCTGATTTAAAATCTCCCAGATCGAAATGGGCCTTGCCAAGACTGACATACGCCACTCTCTTTCCCAATCTGTCTCCTACTTTTTTGGCAATTTTTAGAAGACGTTCAAGGTTGCCTATTGCTGTATCAAAACCTCCCATATATCGATGGGCAAGACCAACAGTGCCATACTCCTTTCCCTCTATCGATCTCTCATCAAAGTTGTCAATTCCAGCTGTGTATGTCCCCTTCGTGTCAATTTTCTGTGAAATAAATTACGTACAATGCAAGGAAAGTACACGTCAATGTTACATTGCAATTGCTTAACCGCCCCACTATGATGTGAGACACCTTTTATGCAGGAATCTACCTTCTTATTGTCTTTCAGTTTCAGCTAAAAGTGGTGTAAAATGTTACAAGGGTAAGTAGTGTTCAAGTTCTTTGGTGAAAGAAGCAATTCTACAAAAACTTAGAAACTGAAAGGCATTATCAATAAATTTTCCACATAATGTACGTGTTTTCATTGGCCTCAGCTTGTGCCAAGTTTAATCGAAGACATGCAGCGCATTATTCCTATCGATTCTTGGCATTGTCAGATTAACTGACGATTGGATTGGGCCGAGGACGTTTGCGTTTTACTGGAACGCAATGAATTTCAGGGTAAAAAACTTTTACTTGAGGCCATGAAACTGCATCCCTTTGGAGACTCAGATTTGATTTGTCCAGTACTCGTAACATCATTTGACGATTTTTTTTTCCTAGATCAAAGAATGAAAAAGATGGACAGTTTTTGTTTCCCATGATTCTTGATCTTCCCCATGGTAAGATCGAGAGAAACCTGGAAACTTGATAGGCAAGATAAAAATCTCAGGACAATAAGCCCAAAGTTGAGCAGAGTCACGATTTCTCGAACCCTCGACATAATTCTAGGCATGACGAGCCAATCACACATTGTAATTAAGTTATAATTGGAAGCAAATATCTGCTTTTTCTAAGATGGTTCGAAAAATCGGGATTCCACTGTATTCAGAGGTACTTTATGCACAAATACGTGCTACCAAAATTTGTTGTTCCATTTTAGCATCCTAATTATGGCAATTACAATGGGACTTCTCGAACCGGGACACTTTGAAGAAGATTATCCAACCACAATCACAACGTTTTTTGAAAACAAAAGATTCTCAGGTTTTTTTGGAAACGGACCAATAACATTCATAAATTTGAGGGCTGTTTCCTGAGAGGTCAGGTAAGTTCAAATGGTTTCAAAGTTTTCAATGGTTGCAGAGTGGAACCTTGAATTTTATTGGTCCGTTTGCAAAAAAGTTGAGAAATGTAATGAAGCTACCGATTATAGTAAACATTTTTGGTTGTGAGGGAACAGTCAAAAGTAGAGGGCATAGAGATGCGAAAAAAACGGTGATAGAAAGTTTGGAGCACGTACTTATAGCAGTCGCATTTCAATATATGGCATCCGGCGTCTACAGGGTGACTGAGGGCGATATGGACCTCTTCCCTAGAGGTATTAAAAGATGGACTGGATATTCTGCAATTTGATTTGATATTTTCGCTAAAATTATGTTAGTTTTCTTGTGCTTTTCAAATTAAGAAGAATAACACCCCCTATCTTTATATTAAACCATTTTCCCCCTCCTTGGACGTCTATTACATCTTTTTACGGTAAATAGCTGGAATATGCAGTGGAAAAGGAGGTATTAGACAGATTAAGAGTCACGTTAACGGCAAACGTCAGATAAAAGATGAGAATTTCTCAGAATAGAAAATAAGCAGATTAAAACTGTCCAGAACAATTCTTATGTATAAAACTGGCGTGAAACTACTTTTTTTGTGTAGAAGTAATAAACAGGAAACGAAAATCAAGGGTAAATCTCGGTCACGTGGTACAAATTCAAGTTTGCCATTTGACGCAAACGTGAATCTTAATCTCTATATTAGTATAGGTAATAGCATGATTTGTAGTGTAGTGGTATTTATGCCAAATATCACGTACAAATCATGCTATTATTTGTTTATACTACTACCTACAAAAGGTTTGTAATTTTCCCATGTAGGTATCTCAAATTAAGCTCAAATACCACTGCTCTAAGCCAATCAAATTGCAAACATTCCCCATGTAGTAGTATAATTAAGATAACGGATGACTGCAAACGGTACGTGATGACTCTAGTCTAGGGAGGGCAAAGATAGAAAATTCCTTGCACCTAGTATACCTACAATTGTAGTACTAGGCGGTCAGGAACCTTAAAAGGGGGGACTTTTTCGATTTAGGGGAATCAACAGGAGGCTTCTCGTTGGCTCTTCCGACGATTATCTCAATTTTCATGCCCATCCAGCAGTTTTTTTTCTGACTGAATATCTTCAGGTTTTTTTCTGTTTTTAATTTTAATGTTTACCACGTAATAAAAAATTAAAATCGAGAGAACTGGCTATCTTTCTTTAAAACGTATTGAAATTCTAATGTACAGAACATAAAAAATACAATCACTTACTTCATAGATCTAGAAATGCACACTCAAAGCAATTTGATTCAGTTGTCGATTTGCAATTAGAAAATAAAGCTGACCAGCTAACAAGTCCAAAAATGATTGAAAATGTCTGTGTTTGTTAACGTAAATATGAGGATGAAGCCTATACGTTCCTTGAGTAGTTAACCCAGCTACGTGTGCAGAGATGCCTTTCCAAGTTTTTGTTTCACTGGCCGAAACTGATTGCTGGGTATCCAAGGCAGTGGACACCGCCTACAACGAAGCATAAATGTAATTTTTTTAGTCCTTACCTTTTCTTGGTGGCTTTCTTGCAGTTTGCTCCGAATTTTCAACAACTTCTGGTTATTCGGGTCAATCTTTAATTAGTTAAATAGTTCCGTTAACTATCATATAAATACACAAATTGCAAAGCTACCCAACTTGAATCCTAATCGCGCGACGTTTTGTTGGTGATATAACCCGAATAGAGTCTCTGATTGCAAATAACTTTATAATAATCATGATGTGTCCCGACTGTCAAAATTTAAGTTTGCTAATTTGAGAAGGGGTGCATTTTCTTGCCTGAGGGTGTCTGAGGGAAAAGGATAGTTATAATACAAAAAGAGGAAATCTGTACTGGTAGGCAGCCAATTCATATACGGTACTTGCTCGTGACCTCACACATGAAAGATACTTTGATTACTGGTCATTGTTGATGAGAAACTGTAACTGTTTCTTGAAACTGGTATTGTGATGCGTGATCCCGTCCAAACTGGGCTGAAAATTTGGGACATTTTTGTGTCAATAAGTTGCATCCGCACATCGAGGTAGTCTTTTGTTTTTTGGTTAATTCTCCCATATACAGTTTCTTGTACCAAAGCCTTTGTTTTGATTCAGTTTTGTTAAGTCTTAGTAATCGAGCGTTCTCTTCGAATCCTAGGGCGCAAGCGCTAGGCGCTAGGCGCCGCACGGTGTTTTCTCTTAACCGGGTGACGGCGACCTCGTTCAGGATTCAAAGAGAACTCTTGGTTAGAAAAATTGAGTCCAAATGAAAATTATTCCTTGAACTTTAGAAAAGGATACTACTAATCCTTTATCACACCACGTGATGGCTTCGTCAAACTTTTTCAACTTAACACAGGCACTTGCACCTGTAAGTATACAAAGCACAGCTTAGCTCCAACACATTTGATACATTTAACGCTGAATACGGTTATGTTGTTGGTGTATCAAGGGAAGGGCTATTCGAAAATTTGTGTGGGCGATGAAAGGCAAGGGGAAACTACGCGAAAAAAATCATGTACATGAAACAGTTAGGATCCATTCAAATAAACAGCCAACATTCCATCTACTGCGCATTTTTTGTGTAGCGATGACTGCGTAGTTTTACAATCATGACATTATGATATCCCATGCTACCATGATACAAACAACGGCAGCAGCTTTAGTGGAAGCTTGTGATAGAGAAGAGATATAAGCTGACTTAACGTACTGTACACCAGACCGATCAGAGAGTCAAAGAATCATAGTTAATACAGCTGCAGCTGAACATTAAAACAGTGCAGGGAGATCATCACGTTTGTTGCCAAGCGAGGGAAATGAGGACATCGTTAACAACTGAGAGAAGTAGAGTGGCTCTTCTATAGGTTGACTGGTACGTTGGAGGAGAGTTTACCTACGTGCAACGGAGTACGTGTATATTTGACAAAGTTGTTACAGTCCGTTTCGCTAACCACAACCTTTTCGATGCCTTATTAACTTGGAAAGAAATTTCAGGGGAGGATCCAGGTATTTTTGGTCAGGAAGATTCTACTTAAACAATCAGTTGAAGACAATAATTTCCATCCTTCCACGTCTTTACACATTGTTTTTTTTACCACCCTGTACATGTGAACACATAACAGACTTCTCATAAAAATCAATCGCCTTTTGTGTTAAATGATGAACTTTCTCTCTTCAAATTGAATTAAAATGATCAAGCCCCACGGTTAAAAGGCAACATGAAAAGTTCTGAAGTTCTGTTTTTAAGCTAGGAAATAGAAGTTGTATGCGACAATTCAGGACTGATTCAGAGGTACCTGTTTCAGTTTTATAGCAGGTAGTTGGCATAGTACTTGATCGGTCGGATATATTAGTTTTGACGACGGGGCTATAGCTAACTTACCTCGAGCAAAAGCTTTTAAGAAATATGGTCGTAAGCCCACGGCAATTTTTGCATCATCCAGTGTTTCAGTGTAATTACCTGTGAAAGAATGCATGCAAAAAGACTACAGAACCATTCAGTCACCACAGTACTCACATAATCACTCCTAATATTTATAGCAGTTATAACTCTCCCCGCCCCCCCAAACAGTCCGATAGTCAAAAAGAAATTAAAGATTTTTAAGACAACTAACAGCAACTTCTCACCCAAATTAAAACGTGCCGCCGCCCTGTTGCTGTACAGCATGGCGTTCAGTTCTTCATCTTTACAGTTCACTTTAATTCCTTCCGTGTAGAATTGAATGGCGTTGTTAAAATTGTTCTTCTTGTACTCATCGTTGCCCTCATTTTTGTAGACCTCAGCGATTGCTACAATAATAATAATGATAATAATGACAATAATAATAATAATAATAATAAGAATAATAAGAATAAGAATAAGAATAAGAATAAGAATAATAATTGTCACTTACATAGCGAAATTTCTATATGAATGGTTAATTGCGCTCTCCACAGTAGACCGCGAGCGATCGTCCTTCTTCCCCACGTGCGGTGGGCGAAATAGTGAAATTACGTAAATTAATGGTAAAAAGGAGAAGAGATTGGGATGGAGAGAGGACTCTTTTTTTTTCTTCGCTCGGGCTTCCGCCCTCGCTCCTCGCGGCTTCGCCGCTGTAACTCAAAACCCGGAGTAGTCAATCGGAGCCAGGTATGAATTAAAAAAAAAAAAGAAAAATGAAAATGGTCTATTTTCTGTGCTTTTATGCTTCCGTCTTTAACTTCTGCAACTGCTGAGATGAAATTAAAAGACATCGTAAGCATATCCTTTACGAATATTGAATAAAATGGCTTAAACTCAATACTATGACCCTCACATCTGGACACAACTGAAAAATAGCATGTTGTTCCTCACCTCTTAAATTGTCATCATCAAAGTGCAGTGTTTCCTCAGCGGCTGATGTGGCTTCGCCTTCTTTCGAAGCTGTGATTGGACTTCTCGCCATGCTTGAAGACTGACGAATTGCTCATGAAGGTTTTCCCTGCTAATAGATTCAGATAGATTATTGTGCGGTGATATTTGTCTGTCTTCGAAAGAGAAATTGAGACTGTTGTATACTGTTTTGAAATCGGGCTCAGTCATTTTATTGTACGAAGTTGTGTTCCTGAAGTTGTGACAACTCACTGTAACTTCACGGATAACGTAACTTCAAGGCAGTGCATCATGGAAAGGGCCGAGGTCTTTTCCCA